GTAGTGAGTTGTACCCTTAATTCAACAAAAAAATTATCTACAGGCTAACGAGTTACTGTGGAAGAGATGCTTGATCTGATATTGCGTTTATTGCGGAAATAGATCAAACGCGAATTACCGAATAGTAATTGAATCGGCCTGGTACTGCAAAGCGAGGAAGAAAACTTTTCCTCCGCTGGATTAATGATATACTGAGCACTGTTCAAAGGTCACTTTGAGAAATTGCTTCAAGCAGCCACTAGATTTCATCATTTTTTACAGTCCAATATTAAAACACCGAAAGCGTTAGAAAATCTTTCTACTTTTATAAATTAATACTGAAAAAAAAAAAACAAAAGGAAGAGCTGTGGATGTTTTTAATAACCTGTGAAAATTGATTACCTAGCAGATGTTATGTAAAGTTTGAATAAATTGATTTTTGTGAATACTGGGTTTGACACTTTTTATGATTTTTGAACATTCAGTTGATATAAGTTAAAATACTTCAAGCTGAATGTGCGAAAATGTGCGAAAACGTTTGTTTGTCTACTATTTCATTATAAATGTTTAATCCTTAGATTGTTATTAAGTGGAGTCTTTTTTAGGCCTGACTAATTTTTCAAAATACTTTTTTCGAAGTAGATTTTTTTCGAACTTATGGTTTTCGTACTAGTTTTTGTCGTGCTTTTGTTTTGATAAATGAAAGTTGTATTATCAGTACAATTTTTCAAAAATATGGGTTTTATTTCAAATAGAAAAACCTTTACATTCGTATATCAACTTAGACGCATCTTTACAAATAGTTTGAGAGCAATAAGTTTTTATCTGATTCTGTTGAGGTTGGGCACATTAGTTATTTTTTGAGTTAAAGAGTTTTCCCTGCTAAAGAGTTTTCCGCTTTTTGCTGCTTTGTAAGTTTTACTCCGATGTTTATTAAACTCTCAAATGCCCTTATTGCTGGCGCATTTTCCTCAAATAAAACCTAATTCACATGAAAATCAAGAAAAATGATGGATAATTTCTAAAAGCGGCATTCGAACTTTTGTGAATTTTTCTACAGTATCGTCTCTATACCTGTCGGTCAGTTTCTCTTGCTATATATGTGTTGTATTGCATGAATGCAAAGCCTTGTTTCGCTTGTGTTTTGTTTACTTTATTCGGTTAAAAGTTTGCTTAGTTTATTCGGTTACAAGGGTCGTTTTTTTCCTATTCGTCCGGAGTACGTCTAAATGGGAGGGTGTTGAAAAGGCAATAAAAAACCACGGCGGGCTGTTGTCGGACTACCAGTATCGAAGTATCGAGAGAACTCGTTGTTCATGTCGCTTCTCGCGCTCTGGAAAAGATCATAGAGGAAATGAACAACATCATGGGCAAGGATGGCAAGCATGGGTTTTCTACTAGCAGTAAGGACAAACCATCCACACTGATAGTTCAAAATCGAGGTAACCACATTTAGAGTTTTTAAAAAAAAAAAATAAGAGATATCACCGCTGTGCAAATAGTGTTCACGAAACGCAATTTAAAAGTAAGGTATATAAATCCATCTGGGTCGGCCCAACGATCAACGATTTTACCACTAGCGTTGAGGAGCACCGTAAAGCGAGTACTTCCGTCGGGCAACATCAAAAACAGTGTGAATGCGATGGTTTGGGCTCATAGTTAATTAGGAAGGAGAAGACAGTTCTCAACACACGCGTCAGCAACGAGAAGTCAAGACATGTCTCAGCAACGAGATGAAGAAGAATTTAGAAGAAGAGAGAGCTGACCCCGAAGCTAAAATTTCAAAAAAGAACAAAACATCGAGACAATTTTTTTGGGGAAATTTTAAAAGAAATATTACTTGATAGATGTCATGTAATACTACGATAAATTGTTTTTTAATGAATAGTGTGTTTAACACTTTTGATGATTTTTATTTATTTTGAAACTATGTTCGATGAAAATTATAACCAAACTGTGCTCTAGTTAGGTTGTAATTAGTAGAAGTTTGTATCAGGCAACACAAATTTTTCAAATTTTTTTTGAACCATTCCGCGACTTCTTGTTTTTGTCTTAGTTTCACGTTTTTTAATGAATAATGTCAATTTTATCTGGTACGGTTTTTTATTGGGTGATTTTCCAAAGCACGAACTTTAATTTGATTGAACCAGTTCTTATTTTCTGAAGCATGTGTTTAAGTTTGAATCAAACAGTTCTGGCTTATGGTAACTAATATGGCAACTTTTTTTGGTAGTTTCGAGGGCGAAGTTCTTTTTATATTTTTTGTGTGTTTCAGAATGGTTGAACCAAAAATTTTAGTTGTGTATCAGCTTCTTCTTTTCGCTTTGGTTCTTTCTTTTGGTTCGGCTTGAATTGTTTCGGCAGTCTATTTACCGGAAGATTTTCGTCTAATGTACAAGACTTTCATCTAAATCTGTTGAGGGTGGACTTAAGGTATAATATGGGTAACTGAAAATCACGTGGTAACTGAAAATCAAAAATCGAAAATCACAACAGTCGACTTTACAATTGCGGGAAACACGCATGAGAACACGATCTTGAGCCCAATTGCTTTTCCCATACCTTACTAGAGTAAAATTATTTTTTATCCAAAGAAAATCAAGTTTGGTTGCGAGAAGCCAGACAACTCAGCAGGCGTTTCAAATTCAAGTGAACAATTAACCTGATCGACTGGGAAGGTTTCCCAATATTTCGATCTGATGGTCCATCAACCAACTTAAGTTTAATAAAACTTACTCAGGTGTTATAAAACTTCTTGACTCTTGTTTAATTTACGTAAGTGCATTGATGGAGTTAGATTCAAATTGATTGTCTAGAAGCCGTGAGTTTCTGAATTTGAATTACTTGAGCGTATTTGAAATAACGTGATTCTTAGGTTGATTCTTCTCAAATCTAAGAATATGCGTCTAAGAATATGCGTTTAATGGTTTCTCACAGTATACAACAGTCTCTAGGCACCGCGCATCCAATTCCGTCTTCCATCAGAGATAAGGTCGTTATCTCTCTAACCTCGTGTTACGGGAGGGTATGGATCCGCATCGGATGTCCCACTGGACCTTCCTTTTTTCTGATACACTTCAGCTAAGCGTCATATCGTGTCTGGTCGTCACGATAAGAGGCTTCGTTTTCTCTTATTTTCTTAAGATTGTCTTTCGTCTTTTCACTTCGGTTGTGTTCTTTTTTCTCCTTTTTTCGTCAAAATAATCCTACCCTACCTTTCCTAACGATTTCGATGCTTATACAGATAATGCCTTTTTTGGTTCTTGTCGGAGGGTTCCGGGGGAATGGCATATACTACCCGGACAGTCCCTTTAATATCACCATTGAACGCATAACTCTGGGTTTTCTTCGAGTGGTGATCCAGTGTTGTATCATCAACTTACAAATCGCATCAGAAATTATTTTTTATCCAGGTCACCCCAACTCACCGCGTGTCACAAATGGCTTCGATGCCTCTTACCTTCAACATTTTAACAAAATATGCTCCATGAGGAGTGTCCTAGATAAAATTTCTTTTCTGCCTTCTTACGTCATGTCAATTTAAAATTTTATTCGCTCTTGCTGATTTAAAAAGATTTGGGACGTGGCACGGCCACACCCCCGTTAAAGTTAACTTAGTGTCACTCACAAAGTTTTATTGTTCATATATGTTTTTGTCCTCAATATTAAAACAACGAAACTCTCTGGCTAGGAAAGGTAATCAGGTACACACCCTCCTCGAGCGAGCGTACCCAAACCCTACCAGTTTGCGACAAAGTGAAGATGTGTCCTACACAAGTAAAAACAATTCAAACAGTTTTAAATAGGTTAATATACTCACCTAAGTCCTGCATCAATAAATAGCAATAAACTAAGACTTTCCATTACACTTCAACCATTTTAATAGAAACTCCTAAAATTTCAAAGTCTGGTCTGACCAAACATCAACAAACCAAAGAGTTTAAAAGTTTCATTAATCAATCTTGGTTGATTCGTTCAAGTTTTAACGCACTAAAACAATTAATTTTTCACTTCTCTCCACTTCTGCTCCGTGTCTCGTCTTCAATTCTCACTCCATCGCTTCCTGTTCCGGTTAACCTACCTCGCTGTCTTCCAGGACTTTCTGCAGCAAGTCAACAGAGCTGTGGGCCATGCCCCAGCTCTCTCGTTCTAGCAACCTCTGCTTGAAACATGGCAGTAGATCCACGTTCACCTTCCTACGTTCTCGATTCCTACAGAAGCTATTGTGCAAGCATAGGTCACATTCCGTTCCAGGTCAGCTTGTAAGACCTCCTTCTCGTTCTCCGTGGGGCAAGGCGTTCCAACTACTCGTTTCCTAGCAGTAGTCACGGCGTTCCTGAGCGTCAGGAATGCTCTCTTATAGGCTGCCGGTCCTATATTTAGCAGGAAGGAATGATTGCGCTCCGTGTTCCTGGGCATATGACGCTTCGCACGTTCATACATCCATGACGTTGCTTCGCCCATATTCTCTCGATGGCTTTGGGTATCCTGAGGACCTTGCAGGTGGTCTTGAAAAGATCCAAGCTAATAATTTTCACGTTGCTTAGTTGCTTAGGTGTCGGTACGGTCATCTCCTGCTCGCTCGCACCCGCGTTGGCTTCCAACTGACTGCCAAGATCGATACAGGCTGGGTTTGGTCAGGCAATCCCGTATAGAACAACTCCTCCACGTCCCCAACTAACATCAAGTTTCGGCGTTTGGGGTAGCTTAACGTCTGAGCCAGACAGTGGTAGGGATACTCCCCATGGGTCATCAAAATGTTTCTCCAGGTATCCTGAAGCTTCTAGCAGCGATTCTACTGCGATCATGATCTGACGCATTCCGTCGTTTTCATCTATGATAGGTAATTAGGTCGGTATTGTTCCTCTCGCCTTCTTTTTCTGGAATTCACTCACCTTACGCTCAGTCAACTTCATAAAGTTTTCACCACTACGTCTTGCAACTCGCCTGAATAAAACTACGAATTCTCATTTAGCAAAAATATCAAAGAAGTGAGTCGGTAAAAGTTCGAGTGATGATGAAGATGTGTATTGTGTAGAGTACAGTGAGTAAGGAGCTGGAGAAGGCGGGCGTGGGGGACCAGGGGGATCTGGACAAGAGCTACTGGATCGCCAGAGTGGGGGAGGTAAGCAGCAGAGATATACTGTAGACACAGATAACTTATCAAATTAGACGTCTTTCAACCCTCGTTGGGACTTGGATGTCTTGAAATTTTTAAACCTCTGTTCAGTGTCGGGTAATTGGTCAGAATCTTTGATTGAATGGTTGGTGGTTATTCACTAACATTTACCCAAGCTAAACTGAAACCAGCTAAACCAATACATATTATTTAACTGGAAAAACAGATTCTCGTAAATTTCCTAATTGTTTTTGGCAACTGGTAAATCAAAATAACTATCAATGAGAATATTTGGTGGCTGACCAACATTGAGGATGATTGTATCTCTGCAAGAATGTATGAAGTGGGTAGAATGAGTGTTGTGTGTTTAGTTGTCAGTTCAGCTGCAGCAGTCGACGGAGTACTGGAAGAACAAAGTGAGAGATGCTCAGATGCAGGCCACAGTCCCAGACAGCCACAAGTCAGCCAACAGACAACAGCATCATCAGACACACCATACAGGCCACCATAAGGACTACTAGAACAGTCTTCTTCTAGTCTATTCCCCCTCATCACAAGAACATCAGACAACCAACCAACAAACCAGCCAGACACCTTAGCCAACTGGACCATATAAAACAGCCATCAATCAGTCCAACACAAACTGTGACCTCATCCTTTTTTTGTAATTTTCTATTCTAATCTGCCGTCTTTCTGTAAATTTGAATCAAATTCTTCGGTTTCTTCCTATTGATAGATTTGTTTTGTAAATAGACTGTAAATTGTACAGCGCCTTTATTGCCACAATGTCTGAAAGAGTAATACATTCTTGATATCAATTTCATTCTCATTGTTAGCATAAATCGAGTTGTCACACAACTAGACCAGGCTGCTCGTAACTGGGCGACGCCCTTTAAAAGCGAGTCCAACTGCCATTTAAATTCTATGGAGTAGTGTTCAGTTTTCAAAAAAAACTATGATATATACACCAGCAAAGCGTAGTGTTTTATTACGAAGAATTTTTTCAATCTAAGTCGCAATTCAATGTGCTCTTTTGGTGACATTTTTGATATATTTCAATTTAATCATATTTCAGCCTATTTAAGCATAGAAAATTTAGTAGCGTATGTTGTTGCTTTATTTTTGGCTAGTGTTAGGTACTGTTTGAAAAAGTTATTATGAAAATGTAAGTGAATTGTTAGTTTTTTTGCCACGCTTTGGAAAATTTTTTGAGGAATAAATTCTCAAAAACTACTGAACCGTTTTCCGAAAAAAGTACCAATAGACAAACCTGCTGCTCTTCTATGTGCCTGCATGTTTCGCTAGTCTTTTTTTGATTTACCCCACGTTCTACGGCCTTCGAAAGTTTCAGTAGGGGATTTTTGACATATTTGTTTTGATTTTTTTTTCTTTTTCTCAAATATTAAATGGACAAATATGAAACGAAGGTTCGAAGGTTTCATTCAAATAACAAATTATAGGGATTTCTCCCTTTTAAGCGTTTATTTGGTAGAAAAAAGTTATGGCGTCAAAAAAGCCCAATTTTTGACATTTAATTCTTGAAATTTGTCTCAAACTATCCTGTTAAACCGAAGACAAAGTGTTTAACCCAAAGAAAAAACAGTTGTGTGAATCTTTCAAGTCCAAGCGGCTATGCCCTGCGTTTTGAAAAAAATATGGCCTTAGAAAATGTCCAAATTCTGAATCTTTGCCATTTTTTTGGAAACTTTTTTCTTCAAAAACTAACCTGCTGATTTTAAGGAGGATAAATCATGGTGCTCAGAATTCCCCGCGTAATCTGTTTTTCCCTTTTTTTGTAAAAAAGCCAATATGAGCTTCGGGTTATCGAAGTTTTTATGGTTCTTTTTGCAAGTGAGGCTCTTTTTATTTTCGCCCAACCTTCAAATTTTCATAAGTTATCCGAATGTTACAAAAATTGACATGCGTTCTAATTAGACCCTGAGAAACATATTTGGTCTTCATGTTTAATCTTGTAAAACCCCTCGCTACACCAAAAAATTCATGCTATTTCGAGGTGGGGGGAAGGGGGGTTGGAAGGAAAAAGAGCTTCAAGTATTTTTTCTATTCTCCGTATATGCAACATAATCTGAAACTATGTTTAAAAAACAAGTTAGAGGGTTTGTTTTTCCAAAGAAAACTCTAGATAGTTACCAATCAGTGATTTTCACTAAAAATTCTCAATTCGCATTATAACAATTTTTCTACTAAAGTTTTTGATTCTGTCGTGGTTGGGCAGAATCAAAAACTTACAACAATTGGTTTCACTAATCTATAAGTTTGACTATAAATGTCAGATCTTGAATTGATGTCTGATTTTGATATAATGCTAGTTGGAATTTTTAATAGAAGTCAGTGATTGGCAGAGCAGCTCGAATATATTCGCTCGTGCACAGATAAAGACTAATTGTGGTGATCTGGGGAATGGTGACGTCAATTGTACAACTGCGTGTTGGAACATTTGAATTAAATCGTTCGCATTTAGTGCTTTATATTATCGCAGACGCATAGTCGGAGAATGCGTGACGTCATTTTGAGGTCCCATTAAAAAAAATAATTATCGCCTTAAAAGTTGTCTTAATGGCAGGTTCATTTCTAACCCCACCCCCTCTCCCATTCTTCATAAAATTTTCAGAGGATATGCTAATTTTTGTTTTAAGTTCAATATTTATCTCGTTGTAACATTGGCTCACTTTGGCCAATATTGATGCTTAAGAAGCAAATGAAGCTGTCAGATCGATTGAAATGGCGACATAAATTAATATACCCAGTGACAACGGCAGGCGTGGCAACAGCGAGACCAATAAAAAATTAGTTGCAAATTGATGAATAACATAAACAGTTAAACATAGCCAAATGACAATTGGAAAAAAGTCAATGAACGCGAAGAAACAAAAAAATAATTTACAATTTTTTCAAAAAAAAATCAAACTTGGAATTTTTAAGAGAAAAACAGATGGCCTTAAAGCTCTTTGAACTTCTAGAAAACTTATGATTGACAGTTTTTTGATAAATTAACCCAATTTGAGAAAACGGCTCTTTTTCCTTTTCCCCCCACCTCACACGAGCTTCAATATATTAGTGTAACGAGTGGTTTTACGAGGTTGAGTATCAAGACCAAATATGTTTGTCGTGGCCTTATTAGTCTGTATGTAAATTTTCATAACAATTGAACAATGTGGTCATTAAAGTTACATGTAAAAATTTGCAGGTGGGGGGGGGGGGGGAAAGAGCCGAGAAAACTGCATCAAAAGACAAACTTCTTATTCCGCTGGAAATATGAATCCACCTACGAAATTAGATTTTAATCACCTTTTTTGTGGCCTTTGCATTTTTCACGTTCAAAAATGGCGATTTTGTCTTCTTTTCAACAAAGGAAAAGAACTGAACTTTAAAAGAAATCAAAAGTCAAACCGCGAAAATCACAATTGAGCTTGAACAAACTTAAACTTTTTTTCCTGAAAAGAAACCATCACGACTTAAATTAGATTCTAAACAACGTTCATCGACTCTTAAAAATAAAGCTTGATGTAATTTTCCCTATATGTTAAAATTGATTTTATTCTCAGGTTTTGACACTTTTTTCTTAAAACTAACTTATATGGAGAAAACTGGGACAATAGAAACCCAATTAACACCCACTTTCATGGAAACCCATGGAAACTCAATTAACACCCACTTTCAAACCAAAAAAAAATCACAAAATTTGTGCTGTTTGCACATTTGTAATTAGAGAGCCTTTCAAAATTAGTGTCTATGTATTGTCGTATCTCTCTCTCTCTCTCTCTCCTCTATTTCTCTCTCTCTCTCTCTCTCTCTGCTCCCTCTCTCTCTCCTCTTTTTTTCTCTCTCTCATCTCTCTCTCTCTGTGTTTCTCTGTCTCTCTCTATATCTTTCTCGCTCGGGATAAAAGTCTTTGCCTCGGTCAGGACTCAACGTATCTAGAACGAACGCCACAAAAACGGGACTGGGAACCTAATGTTTATTTTTTAGCCAATGTGTGTGTAATCCGTTTCAGGTGGATCGAAAAAGAACTCACGTCATCTTAACAACATAATCAGATAAAACGTTCTCAAATAATTAAATGTAGGATTCAAGACAAATTAACAAGTTTAGAATCAAATCCAGAAAAATAATTTATCTACATGTAATTGAGTGAATTGATTAGTTTATCAAATTTTCAAATTTTGTTAATTTTGTTACAGAGTTTCTGAAAGTGTTTTGTGGGCAAATTTAGGCCAAGGGAAAAGGGTCTTAAACCTGAAGTTCCCATCTTTGCTTAATTGCAACTTAGAGTGAGCATGCATTTTTTTCAGTTTATCCGGCAAAATTTTAAATTTTCAGTTTCTCAGGCAAAACTAAGCATGAAAGACTCAATTTGAACTTTCGATGTTTTTAACTTGATGGCTATACCCTACGTTGCGAAGTTAGCCTTTATTTTCTGGTCATTTCCGGCTATGATTAAGTAGGTAGCTTTCAAAGGCTATGTGGAATTGTTTTCATGTCCCATGTTGCCGACATCACCATCTGATCCACCAGTCACTGATTAAATTTTAGATAAAAAGAAGTTTGATCATTTTTGAAACAATCGCAAAAAAAAAACATTTTTAAAGAGATTAACAAAAGGGATGATGTTCAAGATGGGTTATACGCAAGGTTGAGAGGATAAATTGGCCTTTTATGCATCACATCAAATTCTCATGAAAGAATATGAGAAGATTCTGGCTATGGACATCCATGAAAAAGGTTGATATCTTAGAGGACGAGAACAGAAAGCGCTCAAAACGCAAAAGAAGGGTGATTTTTAAAACGAAGACAATGGAAAGTGAAGGTTGTTTGAATTAGTATCATAAACAATGTGGCCGGATCTCGGATGAGGAGTAAAATGAAAATCAAAAATGATTTGGTTCTCAAAATAGGGCAATGAAAGGCGTGAACGTGATTAGACTATAATAACAAGTCTGAAGCTTTTCCTACGATATGTAGATGATTTTTTGAGTGCAGCAAAATGCAATCTCCACGCGGTAATGCAAACCGTCATTAAATTGCAACATAAACTACATTTGAAAGTTCAAACAACGATCGAGAACGGTGACTTGATCTAGTTAGTTTTATTTATATATGTAGATGGCATCAAAAACCAATGCATACAGGCACGCTTCTAAGTTGTACGAACAACCAACGATCAAGCCTCAATATCTATAATACAAAAACCAATTGTTGCCAAACAAGGTGCGCAGCGTCACCAATGCACCAATTGTGTTTACGAATGAAAACGAACACCGCTATTCCCTCCCTTAGTTCGTCATTTTCAAGTTAGTTTGAAAATCATTATGGACTACAAATTGCCTTGTGGTGAGTTTTATTCCACGTATATTGTACAGACTGTTCTATATCTAGCCTCAAAGATTGAAGATCACGACAAAAAAACTCCACTTATCATACGCAAATGGCAGTGTGGAGAGGATGCAATCCTTGCTCAGTCATTTTGGGAGATCATAAATCAGTCGAACACATTATCATACTTCCTAACATTGAAAGCGGTGCATAAAGGATAACTGGCTTGGGATCAACACAAGAAAGAAGTTCTGCAGTAGAGGTTAATCAAAAAAATTTTAAATTCGAAAAAAACAATAAGAAAAGGTTAAGTAAAATAAAAAAAAACCAGAAGTTTTTAGACATTAAGTAGTACTATTTTTAAGTAATAGGGCTTAAATTTGATTGGTTTTTATTTTTGAAAAGTTTTGCATCGAAACATTTATTTGCCTTGTAATGTGTTCTATAACATTTTTTTCCCAAAGCTGACAAAGCACATAGTTCC